TAACCACTGCGCCACCAGGGCTCCATCAGATGCATTGGTTCCTGTAAAAACCGGTTGCTGTTGAGTTGATTCTGACTCATGGTGACCCCATGTGTTGCAGAGTAGAACTGCTCCCTAGGATTTTCTTGGCTGCAAATCTTAACAGAAGCAGATAGCTTTTCTTCCAGGGTACTGCTGGGTGAGTTTGAATGGCCAGCTTTTAGGTTAGTAGTTGAGCGCTTAACCATTTGCACCACCCAGGGACTCCTGTAGGAGCTCAGAATCAGGTAATTCCAGGAAATGTTCAACACAATGACAAGATGAGACCCAGGCAGCAGAGAGCATGTAAGAAGCTCACACTACTTATGCGGACAGTGTTGCTGACTGATGTCAGTCCTTCAGGCTGGCCAGGGACGCCACGGGAGTTGTGGTCCCTTGGCTGAGGTCCCCTCAGGAACAGCTGCTGTTTCCTTAGCTGAGCACTAAATAAACAGCTGGCTTGTGTCAAGGGGTTAAGTTGTATGAAGAATATGTAATTTTAAACAGCAGAATCACACCATATAGCAAAATGCTGACACGCGAGAGGCACAAAGGAATGGAAACCGACTGAAGGGGCTGGAGCTTCAGAGTCTCCCACCTCGTGTTTGCTCCAGGCTCCTGCTCTTTACGCAGGGGTCAGGGGGCAGGGGTAGAGAGACAACTGCCGCTTTCCATCCTGAGGGTCTGGCACTAGCCTCGGCATCCCCTCTGCCTTCTGAAGTAACGTGGGCCCCCAGAGCCTGCGTCTTCATGGAGGGTGAGCTGGCCACTTCGTGTTGCATCTTCCTCTGCAGACTGCCTGGCTCTAGCGTCCTCTTCTCTCCTCCAGAAAGTCCGTATTTGTTCGTATCTGCTTCCTGTCTTCCAACTAGTGTCAAAATCTCCCATTCATTGTTGTTTCTTTTCCCGTGCTTTTTGTCCTTGTGGATTTTTCTCATCTTTTAAAAAATTTCTTTCTTTTAATTTGCTGATATTTTAGTGGAATTTTCTAGAGGGAGAGGAAAGACACTTATATTCATTCCGCCATAGTAAACCGGGAGTCTTGGTGATCAAAATTTGACTAAACCCAAACCAAACCAAACCATTGCCATCGAGTTGATTCCGACTCATAGTGACCCTATAGGACAGAGTAGAACTGCCCCATAGAGTTTCCAGGGAGTGCCTGGTGGATTTGAACTGCCAACCTTTTGGTTAGCAGCCATGGCTCTTAACCACTACGCCACCAGGGTTTCCAAATTTTGACTAGTTGTCTATTAAACTGGGAGTCCTGCTAATCAGATTTTAACTAGTTGCTTAAGATATTTAAGTTGTCCTCCCCCACCCCACCCCCTGTCTCTCTCTAATTCCTGAGTGTATGTAGTTAACTTTGTATAAGTTAACTGTGCCGATGGTATAACTCCACTGTGACTCTAGATTAGTGGGGCTCAACGCTGGCTGCACATTTGAGATGCTGTGGAGTTTTAAAATAATGTTGAGGTCCTAGTCCCACCCGCAGAAATGCTGATGTTTGTGGCCTGGGCTAGGGCCCGAGTGTGACAGTTTATTATAGATGTTCCCCAGGTGATTCTGATGCCTGTGAATATTGATAACCATCACCTGGAACCTTGCTACTCAGAAAGTGTGGTCCGTGGACCAGCAGCATGAGCACCCTCTGGGAGTTTGTTCCGAATGCAGAATCACGGGCCCTGCCCCAGGCATGCTGAATCAGAACCTGCATTTTAATAAGATCTGCAGGTGATCCTCACACTCATTCAGGTTTGAGAAGCAAGAGCCTAGACTGGTGTTTCTCAACCTTGGCTGCACATCAGAATCATCTGGAGAGTGTTAAAAAACTCCGTTGCTCAGGCAGTAAAAACCAGTTGTTGCGGAGTCTATTCCTGCTCATGGCGACCCTATGAATGTCAGGGTAACTGT